TTTTAGCGTTACAAATTTAATATTATTTCTTCTCGACACACATAATTTATGTACATGGCAACAGTTAAGAAATGAGTCACGTGATAATCTGGTGAGCGGTGCGAAATGTAAGTCGTTTGACCAATTGATGCCAATCTATTTTCAACTTCAGTTTCTCTTACCGCCTCGCCGCATCTCTGCCGAAATACACGACCACTTCAACTATCATATACAACAAATCAAATTTTCCTATCTTTTCCATATCTGTTAATGTGTTTGTAGCCAGGCGCACATTGGCGTGGACAAACTATTGCTGCATTAGTTGTGTGAATATATAAATATAGTGGTTTTCTCACAAGAATATGTGCAGGTCACTGCCTGTTTTCGCCAATGAAGAAAGGGTCATCAAATCCTAAATATGGTATCGCATATGTTAGAATAGTAAAGTAAATTTATATCCACCAACCATTTCAGTTGACTGAAAGAAAGAAAGAAAGAAAGAAAGAAAGAAAGAAAGAAAGAAAGAAAGAAAGAAAGAAATTACTTGATGACAAAAAAGTGAGAGAAATGTGTTAAATAAACAAAGAGAGAAGAAAGAAAGGAAGAAATGACTTAATTGAAGGAAAAAAGAAAAAAAACAAAAATGCTTTAAGGAAAGAAATTACTTAATGACAGAAGAAAGAAAGAAAGAAAGAAAGAAAGAAAGAAAGAAAGAAAGAAAGAAAGAAAGAAATGACTTAATGACAGAAAGAAACAAAAGAGATAGAAATAATGCTTAAAAGAAAGAATCTAAGAAAGAATGTCTGAAAGTAAGACATTTTTCGTCTATAATAGCGGTTCGGGGAGTATGCCAATGTTATTGAAATATAAAAAATATATTATATAAGGAAATTAATTTTTCTTTTAATTCGAATTAGCGTCAAGCTATTATCCTTCAAATAAAATGGAAATTTAAGTTCAAAGAAAGCATTTATTTAAATTATTTAAAATGCGTTTTTCGTTTTTTTAGGACGTCTGTTGCGGAAACTGCAAATGACCATATGAAAGTAGTAATGAATACAAGAAAACTTAAATATTAAACTGAAAATGTTCGTCTATTCTAAAGTGTGTTGCTTGAAGAGCATAAAATCTCTAATAACTCAATAACTAGAAATGCCTAAAACTTGAAACGGCATATTGATCATTTGACATATGTTTTCAATTCTGAATATAAATTTTATTAATCCGAGAAGTTGCTATCCACTGAGTAGGGACATCGTATCTTATTTATAATTTTCAATAAAAAGAGGATTTTATTTTGTCTGATTAATTAATCAAATATTTTCTACTAACATGTCCACTGTACTTTTTAAGCTTTATCAAATTGATGTAGATATTTTAAAGAATATTAAATATTACAAAATAAATAAACAAATAAAACATTTCAGTTAAATGAAAATTAGTGCTTTTTTATTACGTTTATTTAACCTTTTTTCTAAATGAATTCTCATTTCATTAAAAGTCCGGAATGTAAAGAAAAAAAGTAAAAGAAAAATAAAGAAATAAAGAAAATAAACAGTTTAAGAAATGGAACCTTTATTTTAGAATAATTTTACATTTTTTAACTAATTTTTTGCTTGTTTTTGTTTTTTTACCATCCAAAATCAGATAATGTTTAAAAATGTTTCTTAATAAAAGAAAAACTATTTTTAAGGGAGACAATTGAGAGGAGTATTCTCCCTTGCATTACAAATTCTAGTTATTTTTTTTTTCAATCGGCAAAAAGATTTTTTATTGCTTCTGTTTAATTTTATTTTTCCCGATAACTGATATTAACAGTGTTTAGCTTTTAACAAATTTCATTCAAGAATATCTGACTTCTGACTGTAAAGGTTGCCTCGGAAAAATTCCTATGAAAGCATTGTATTAAGAGATCTTCTCTCACTAATTGCCCGTATTTTCTCATTCCCTCCCCTATCCCTTCCAATCCAACTAAAAACTTTCCTCTCGATGTCTTTTCTTTCCTCTTGATGTTTCTATAACATCTATAAATATTCTTATATTTTCTATAAATATTCTTATATTTTCTATAAATATTCTTATATTTTCACATAGTTTTATTTGCATTGTAAAATTGGTATTAATCATTTTTTTTTTTAATTTAATAAGCATTTTATGTTTAAATAATACATTATTTGCAAAAAACATGAAATTTGAAAATTATAATTCTGGTTCAAATGCAATATTTCCAGAATATTATTTCATTTCCTAACAGTGAAGCACTATCGTAAACTTGGTTAGAAAAATCTAAATGAAACTCAGTCAGAAATATCTTAAGTATCATCTGTATATAACTGCTTCCTCAGATCAATGGTTAAAAATGACTTTGAGCGAATTAAACCCGTTGGGCTTCTTAGCGAGAACAATGTGAAGTGCTGCTAGAGAAACACGAACAAAGAACTGCAACAAAGAACTGCACAGAAAACACATTACCTAAAGACTTTCAATAGCAGAAACTTCTAAAAAGAATATCAGATATAATTGAAAGAGAAAATGATGACATAATCAATAAGTTGAAATTCCACACAACTTCAGAGAAAGGTTACGAAGGACCCCACCCCCTAATCAATACTGGAAAGAACAATAACAGTTACTGAACTTGAGAAACCTATTTTCCTAAAAATTGTTTTAAAAGAAAAATTTTATAAATTTCAATCGAAAGTAGAATTAGCTGCCCGGTTCATGAATACTGAATATTTCTTTGTAAGAGAACATCTTACCATCACTATACGATGGGCAATAATATCATTTATCGCGACTCATAACTACAAGGGAGACAACTTAAGCTTTATTACGGAGTTAGTTACCTTGGGCTGCTATTTTAAGATGTATTCATCTTCTTTTTGTAGAAATTGAAATCGACGAACCGAAATCAAATTATGGCTTTGTCTGTTGTGCTCACTTTCACACAAATATCCCCCCAAAAGGCAATTAATCTGTTTCTTCTTCCCTCGATATGGGTTAAATAGAACGGCAGAGATGGAAATTAACGAATTCTAAAACGTTAAGAAGGCAATGAGAAATGATTCATTATCTTTCCCAAGAATGCATGGAATGAACACACACACAAACACACACACACGTGTATATACATATATATATATATATATATATATGAAACGTTTATTAATCTAAGACGTTTCACTTTTATTAAATTATCAGAGAATTCTGGTATTTTAAAAAAATACTTTTGTGTTGTCCAATTTTCATTCTTCAATTATATATCACGTGTATCCGACTCTTTTTAAACCAACGTTAGTATAATTTGTCGCGCCCGAATTCAAGGAGAGAAATGCGTCTATCCAAAGTTTCAAGAAATTAAAGGATTTCAAGACTGCCTGAAAGAGCGTAAATAAAACTTTTGGGAATCTTTTCATCATGTAGCCTCATTTTTTTAAGTATCTTTGGAGGCACCTATATATATATACATATATATATATATAGTTGAACATATATATTTATAGTAAATGCTCTATTTTAATTAAACAGTATTAATTACATTTAACGTCTTGAATGTTAGAGAAATATGGGTCCTCAGAGAAAGATCGAACCTGTATCCCATACAGAAACCATCACAGCACATAAGGCTTTATGTATGTATATATATATATATATATAAAAATATATATATAAATGTATATTTTATACAACTTTATTTCTTATTAATAGAGTATAGTTATTTTTAGTCAGCACATGTATTTGAGTTGCTATCGCGGTTTTGATTTTTGTTTTTTCTTAAACAGTGAAATTATTAAAGAGAGATAAGACCTCCGACAGTAATCGAACTCGTAACCCCTTTTCCACCAGGCAAACTGTTTTTATAATCAAATCATGCCTTTCCCAATCCAGCCACGGCGACATTGACCATGCAAATTTGAATTATGTATTTAAGCAAAGCACATTTCTAGTTGGGACTTCTACGAAACTACATCTGCTAGCTTCAGTTTCCTATTTGTTCAGCAACTTCTATACAGTTTAACAGTAAATTTGATAATATCTATCTATCTATCTATCTATCTATCTATCTATCTATCTATCTATCTGTTGCGGATTTGAATCAAGCCACAAAGAAAAAGGGGAGAAAAGTTTTTAAATATAAAATATTTTTATTTTCGTTTTTTTTTTTTTTGCAACTAAATTTTTTTCAGCGTGTATGAGTTTTAAAGTCCTCGTATTAAAGTTCCTTGTTTTTAGTTTATTTAGAGGAAAAGAAATGTGATTTCTTCGCGTATATGTATGAGAAAAACGAGGCAAAGGAGAAAGTGAGAAAGAAAGTGTAAGTGTCACATAGCATTGCGAGGAAAACTATATGTGTCACGTAGCTTGATGAGAAAGAATGTACGTGTCACGTAGCTTGGTGAGGTAGAGAGGTGAATGCGTAAGGGAATCTCTTTTAAGACGCGCAGTCATGAACTGAACTGTTGTCGTATGTACCCGTTTCTATCTCCTTACTCCTTTTTGCCCGTCTGGAGACTTAAATACTCTTGAAAAGGATCACGAAGCATGTTTTTTATTGTCAATAAGAAAGCGGCCAGCTGGTTGATATTTATTTTCAAAGGATTAATTTATTAACAGGAAGGGTGTGCGGATCCTCTGACCCAGAAACTTTTCTTTTTTTTTTTTTTTTGTCATTTAATGATTGACTGCCTTGGGGTTTATTTCCATCTTCGATCTACATATCTATTAGTCATATGTGTTTTGTTCAACCTGACTTCTTGTTTTTATCAGTTTTACCGTCTCTACCAATCTGACTGATAATCCGAATATCGATTGAAGCATCTACTTTAAATAACACCCAAAAGAATCGCAAGATCACATAAAAACGTTTTTAAATCTAACACACACACACACACACATATATATAGAATGGAGAATAGAGACTGAATGCTTATGTACACGAGGAGCATGAAACATTATACTAAGCATAACTTAGATGTGGCACAAGGAAAGTATGGAGCAACCAGTGAGGGTCGAACTCACTACTCAGTAGTAATTGATCTAGCCAGACAAGCTTCCTGACCATTACACTACATCGAAGTGCCTTATTCTTAAATATACACATGCATATATATATATATATATAGAGAGAGAGAGAGAGAGAGAGAGAGAGACAGACAGACAGACAGATAGACAGACAGACAAAAAACAGACAGACAGAGAAATGTGTGTAGAAGCGAAGAATTGAGTTAATCTTCAAACACGGATCAACTTCACACAAAATGTTTTGCATATCTTTTTTTACGGTAAACCGAATGAATTGCGTGAGTTTAATATAAAAGGAAAAAGCGTTTATATGTGTGTATATCTATGGGACACAGGCTTACATTGTTTTCACAGTGTGTATGAAATTGTAGTTGTCAACCACATGAAAAAAGGCAGGAAGTTAGCTGCTACTCATGTAAACAAGTTAGCGGAATGTCGTCTCTATCGCTAAACATTTTTGGTAATATTGTATACTCGAAAAAATATGCGAAAGATGTGAGTAATTGTGCGTGAGAATTTCAGTCTCGTTTTTGCGACAAACGATCGAACAAGCAAACAAATGCCCTGATTCACTGAAAGACTAGTTTGAAAACAAGAATTGATCATATTTATAATAAAATAGTAGGCTCGGAATGAATGTAAAATTTAGATTTATCAATCTTAAGCTTATTAGCTATATATTTTCCCAATTTTTAAATATTCCTTTTAAAGAGGAAAAATATTGTTGACAAATTCTGAAGCTGCGCTTCCAAAATTTCATTTTAAGATATTTTACTGTCTACCAATTCAAAGAAAGCCGCGCGTCTCGTACAATGTCACTGGTTGGTAAATATTATATATGAATACAAAGATTCAAATAATTCGAACTGGTTTTGTAAAAAATTTGAGTTACCTTTTGTTACTTTTTTTCAATGTACAAAAAATGAGTTTTCAGTGACAGTATTTAAATCTATTTGCATTTTCTACAATTCTGAAATGAGGCAGTGCACACACACACACACACATATATATATATATATATATATATATATATATATATATATATATATATATATATATATATATATGTATGTATATATATATATATATATATAAAGTGTGAAACCCAGGGTCACAAACTCATATTCATGTAACTGAATATATATATATATATATATATATATATATATATATATATATATATATATGTGTGTGTGTGTGTGTGTGTGTGTGTGTGTGTGTGTGTGTGTGTATATATATATATATATATATATACACGAGGGTGGACTGAAAGGTTCATAGGTTTACTATGATGTAATGATGCGATAACAATGAAGTTTTGCATTGATTCATTTCAACAGTTCTTATTAATAACTGCATTATTTTTCTCTTGGTAAACTGACACTTTTCTGTTCAAAGAAAACTTCAAAAGTAACTAGTAGCAACTTCGCTTGAAAATGAACAAAATGTGGCCTCGGGGTGTCATCAAGTACCTGCAGAGAAAGGGTTTATCCCCTAAGGACATTCATGCTGATATGGTTGCTACATTAGGGGATGATGCTCCAGCTTTATCAACAGTGCAAAAGTGGGCAGCTGAATTTAGTAAAGGAAGGGAGAGACTTGAAGATGACCCACGGTCTGGACGTCCTGCAACGGCCACCACTGAGGAAAACATTGATCGTGTTCACCACATGGTAATGGATGACAGGCGATTGACTATAAATCAAATAGCCAATGCTATTAGCATATCTCGTGAAAGAGTTGAGAATATTCTGCACAATGAACTTGGCATGACGAAGGTTTCTGCTCGGTGGGTACCACGTCTTCTGACACCTGATCAAAAGCGCACCAGGCTGATTATATCACAGGAAAATCTGACATTGTTTGAGGCAGATCCAGCTGGTTTCCTTGAACGTTTCCTAACCCAGGATGAGTGTTGGGTTCATCACTTTGAGCCAGAGACAAAGAGACAATCCATGCAGTGGAAACACCCCTTCTCACCTGCTCTAAAGAACACTAACGTCGTTTATTCAACCGCTAAGTTATGGCCTGTTTTTTATGCAAAAGGCATTGTGTTTATTCACTTTAAAAGGGCCACATCATCAATGGAGAGTATTATGCTAACTTGGTGAGACAGTTACGAAAGGCTTTGAAGACCAAACACACAGGAAAACTGACGAAAGAGGTCTTGTTTAATCATGAAAATGCTCTAGTACACGAGTCCTTGATTTGATGGCTACCGTGCGTGACTGTGGCTTTGAAGTGGTTGATCACCCTCCCTATTCTCCTGATTTGACTATCATTTGTTTCCCAACATGAAAAGATACTTGGCTGGATAGCAGTATCACTGTGATGATGACGTCATATCTGCTACTGATGACTTTTTTACCATGACGAACAGTCAGATGTCAGCTTCATAGTCCGAACGAATTATTTACATCACCCATTAGAGTAAACAACTGCAACACAATAAATACAGAATAGAATAAACTTCAAAGATTTCGCTAACATTGTGTACTCTCGAGAACCAAATAAAAGATGGAGTCATGATAAATGGTGATGACTGGAAAAAAATCAAACTATGTAATAAATGGGGGAAGGCGTTGCAAAAATATAAGTCGGTTAGTTTCATTAAATGGAGTGTAAAATGATACAACAAACTCGAAAATATTTACATTACTATTTACATTAATTTTTACCAATGTTACAATCTAAATAAATGTCCATCAATGTCTTTCCGTTACATAATTTAACAAAATTG